GCGCCACCATCACACACCTGCGAGGGCACTGCATGGGCAAAGCATGCACGGCTTTCATTGTCTACGTACGTGGGATCATAGGCATGTGCACAACTGCAGGGGGCGGGGGCAGCTGTCCTCGGTATGGTTCCTATATCGTGTGAACTTGCGGAGTTCTCGCGTTTTAGGAATTATTCAAGGGCAGCCACCACACACCTGCAAGGGCACTGCACGGGCAAAGCCTGCACGGCTTTCATTGTGTACGCGGGGCGCTCTGGCGCGGGGCGCTCTGGCCTACAAAATTTGCATTTCTTAGGGGGTACACAAAACCCCCTAGACGTTCGTGCCACCATGGGGAGCCCCCTGGCGTTGGCGCATGCTGCCGGGCGTAGCCCCCCACCGTTGGCATGCTGTTAGGGGGGGTATCCCATGTTCTATCTTGCTCCCCCTGGGTGAGGGGCTGATTTGCCTGGCTCGATGCAGCCGCGGCACGCGCGGAGCGGAGGCCCTCCCCCACTGGTCGAGGGCTTCGCCGGCTAGACGCCATTGCTGGAAGCACGTAAGTCGGAATCGTAAAAATGCGTAAAAGGGGTAGGACGCTGGTGCAGCACAACTCTCGGATGGGTCGACGAGAAAAATTTGTCGCGGCCGCGATCGCAAACGGTGGCCGAAGACGGGATTTGGTGGTTGCCGTGAGGGCGAAGTGGTCTTAACGCCGGCAGGGATGTACGAGGAGGGCTAGACGCGCTCCAAGGATCCAAAGTGATGAAAACGAACACCCACAAGTGGTGGCCGATAACCTGACAGGAAACAAGATATATATATATATATATATCAGGCTGAGGCAGAAGAACAGATACGCAGGGGCGGGTGTTCTCGGATACTAAGATGGTATAAAATACTTAGTTGAGTGTTTTATAGCACACGGATAACTGTGACAACGGACACTGGTGACATCTCGGGCCAAGGGGTGACAGGCAGGTGACCCACTGTGCCTCCCCCTTACAGTGGGGGGGCAAGATTGGGTTCCCCGTGAATATTCCCCTAGACTGTGGACCCATTCCGTCCACGTAATTATTTATCACTGCTTGTTACGATTCGTGTGCAGTCATCAGATGCGTTAAAGCTGCCGAAGCGCGAATCGTGTCATGTAAAAAATAGCTGTACGAGCGAGTATCCCTGAATGCTCACCGATGTCATCAATGGCTTCGCGTAGCTCAGCGGATAGAGCGATCGCATATTAAGCGGGAGGTCATGATGGGTTCGAGTCCCTTCGCGCATATATATTTTCTCGCGATGGAATACCGGCTCGACTCATCTCAAACCGTGAAAATCCCCATTACTACTTATACAGTAATCACTCACCTTTAAGAAAACAGGAAATTCACGCCAGCGTATTTTTACATAGAGTTATCAAATGCGAGGGCGATGTATTAAATATGACAGAGTTTGGAAAAACGATGGTTGTTTCCTTTTTAACGTTGAGCGATTACTGGTCTCTAAGATTGCTCTTGGCCATGGTGGGCTAAGCAACGCCGATCGGAGTAGGTGATGCGAGGCGAGAGCGCGTATTGCGTTCTCACTAGATGAGGGGTGCGAGCGTTAATTGGTATGGAGCTCGTGGCGACGCACTTAATTCGAGATTTATGTTCCACCTCGGCAGAATGCCGGACTTTGCTGCTCTGGGTACCTTGCTCGACGCCTAGCTAGGATGGCTATTCACGATCCGAATATTTTCCGCTTCCCTCCTTCATCAAGGAGTTCCAAAATTACGCTTCGGACACTTTCAATTCTTCGAACTACTAGCAATACGCGCAGCCACTCATTTACGCACCACCGCACTCCTTATGCCATTTTGAAAGATGCGGTGCGCCTACAACGAGAGCCGCGAGAAGGAGCTTGTTGCTCGAAAACGACATCGACGCCTCCACCAGACTGTCACCTTCGGCCAGGGACACCCCGACACCATCGACGCCTCGTTCCAGTACCTGCTGCAACTGCTGCCGACGACTCTGATGGCATCAAGGCGTCGCGATGGCCCTCCGCTATCGCGCTATGAGGACACCAACGCCACGGCCGACGTGATCTACTCCAAGGGAAGACAACGTCAATGGGCCAAAGCGGTACGAGAGCTGGCTCTTGGGGGCAAGGAGACGCTATAACAGAGACGGTGAAATAACAGTGGGTATATTCGACAACGGTGGAATATATGCGTTGTTATTTAGTCTCCACAAATTCTGTGAAGCTGGGACGAGATGCTCGGGTGGTCTCACAGTCTAAGATGCATGAAAATAAAATACAGGGGGTTTTATTTTCCCCACCACTGATGACGGAGCTGACCTGGCACCTTGGGTCGAGGGGTGACAGAAAGACCAGGGCTCCCTCCCCCCAGGGGGGTGGAAGTCTGTGTCTCCGTGACACCACCTCACCCTGAAGAGGTGAGGTGCCAGATCAGGCATGCAAGCCAGAAACCCTAACCCTGAAGCATACAGATTGTTACAGGCCCAATGGGACCTTTCTCAGTCCAACTAGTTGCGGATCCCCGCTCGGGCGTTGGCCCGGAACAAGCTACAGGCTAAAAGGCTAGGCATTAAAATCTCTATGTAAGTCATTGTTGAAGTCTACTGCAGTTGCAGATACAGAGGTCCCCACATGTTGGCACCGGCGACGAAAGAGACGTGGAACCGGTGCTACAAATAATCACTCACCTTAAGAAAACCGTACCTGTGTCACCACTTTTCTCATCGACTTGGGTACTCCCCCGCCTGTCCTATGGAATCTGTTAAGAATAGTGACCGCGATCTTTTAAGCCAGCCAGCACATTCCATAGCCATCCACGTGTCATCCTTACGTAGCCAGCCACATTTCTTAAAATTTTCAAAACCTAGAAAATGGACCCTGAGAGCCGTGCACAGTTGAAAGAATTAAAGCATGACTTAGCCGATGATATCATATCTGAATCAGACTATTTAGAACTGAAGGCCATCATTCTTAGTGCCGTCAAGTCAAACGCTCGTAGCAAGAATGCAACCCTCCCAGAATCCAGCCTAGATTTCTTAATATATATGAACTTTATGAAATGCCCCTTTAGATAGTCAGCCAGCACCATATTTCTTATCGCAGGGTGATTCCATAAGAAAAAAAGTCCAGCCAGCTTTTCTCATCAACTTGGGTACCCACCCCCCCCCCAAAGGCTGGCTGGTTCCTTAACGTCGAGGTTCCTTAAAGGTGAGTGATTCAGACCCGCCCACGGACGGAATCCAAGGGGTGGTCCGAAAGGCCGGCCAGTCAACGAAGTCTTCGTCCTCGTGCTGCACGATGGAGAGTGTTGCAGGTGCGTCGTGATCGTCCCCGCCGTAAGGCGTGGGTGCCCCCTGAGGAGGGTCGATGCCGCGATGCGGAGGCGGCTCCACCGGGTAGCGGACAGACATGGCGGCCGCGTCAGGTGGAGGAGCAGCATCCTGCGGTGCAGGCTCGAGCGCGCGGAGGGCGTGGGCCTGCGGCGCGTCCGAAGGCGGCCATGCGGACATGGGAGGGGGCTTGGGGGGGGCAGAAGGAGCGAGAGTGGGAGCACGCCCTGGTGCCGCGAACGCCTGGACGCACACGTAGGGGCAGATGCCGTCGGTGTCCATGTGGCCGGTCGTGACGGCCCACAGGCGGAAGCACGTCACGCACGGCATGCCGGTGCCGTCCCAGACGAGGTAGCGCCCGCCGCTCTCGTTCTTCTTCCAGGTACCCTCGGGCGGGATGAATTTGCGCCTGCCAAGGGCATTGAAGGACCCGGCAGGCTCCTTCCCGCCACCACCACCGGTGCGGGTAGCACCACCAGACGCCGGCAGAGCAGGCGCGGAGAGTCGGGCAAGGGGGGACTCATCTCGGAAAATCTTACCAAGCCGCAGAGTGAGGGAGGCGAAGGTGAAGTTGTGGTTGGTGCCAAGCTCGCGCAGCACCACCAGATACAAAGGCGTGACGTAGGGTGACTTGGCCGCGGACGACCGGAGGACGGTGTAAAGGTCCTCCACACAAGGCTGCGGTCGGAGTAGTCAGCGTGCAGCCGGCGATGCTTGTCCGCAGGGAACATATCAACCCCCTATGGCCGGTCTGTGGCCGTACGATGAGGGCTGTGGCCGAGGTTTGGCCGAGTGTGCTTTTGCTTGTTGGCCGAAACGAATTATGTAAAATTTTGAAAATTCCCCCGAAATTTTGCGATTTTTATGATATTGCCATACATAAAATTAAAATTTTACGCCTGCGGCGGGCAATTTTAGATTTTGGCCGGGATGGCCGAAATTTGGCCGATGGAAAATTTGTGATTTTGAGTGTTGGCCGTACGACATAAAAGTTTGATATGTTCCCTGCTTGTCCGCGAGGGTGCGCACGACAGCCAGTTGGGGCGCGGGCTCGATGGTCTCGTCAATCACGGTCGAGCGAAGGCGGACCCAGAAACGATGTTTGTCGGGGTCGCCAATGCCCTCCACCTGGTAGCGCAGGCGCTGTAAAGCGCAGCGCCCGTCGTGCGGGAAAATGTAGGCGGACTCCTCGTAGAGGGAGAGCGCCATACCACGAAGCACAGCTGGCAGCACAGTAAAAATAAGCTCGTTGATGGTGTAGTGGTAGGCTTCGTACTCGAAGTCCAGATCCAGAAGTTTGAAGACCTCGTCGCGGGAAATAGGACCGAAGACGTGGGACATGTTCGCCAGCAGTACGGCGAAGTCAGTCTCGGAATCAGGTCCATCCAAAGAGAGGCCCACGTTCGACTTAAACCCATGGGAGCGAAGGAGCTTGGCCAGCTCCTCCCCATAAGCGAAGGCGTAGTCCAACTTCTCAGTAAACTCAGCACGTTGGGAAGCTCGCACAGGCGTTGATGTCCACACGCCACTGTTGTGTTGGAACTCGACAGCAGTGGGCGAGCGCGATACCGGCGTAGGGCGGGTAATGAGCGTTGACATGGGCACCACCGGGTCGCCAGACGAATTCCCCGACGGACTGGAGGCATTGGGGGTAGGGGAAGCCCCGCCCGTGGGTCGGGCAGCGCGAAGGCGGCTGGCAAGCGTGATGCGTTCCTCAGACATTGTTGGGAGTACGTAACGCGAAATGTTGAAAAGGTTGGTGCGATAACGGTCGATGTGGCCGAGGACAAGGTGCTCGAACAATTTCCCGGTGTCAAAGGGCACACGGGGTGAAGATGGTGGCGAAGAGGACGAAGGTGCTATGCCAAATCAGGTGAAAAAATGTGTGAACCGCACAAGGTACGGGATCAAAGAAGATGAAAGCGTGAGCAAACTCGCCAGTGGTGAGGCCCAACACCTAACAGAGACGGTGGAATAACAGTGGGTATATTCGACAACGGTGGAATATATGCGTTGTTATTTAGTCTCCACAAACTCTGCGAAGCTGGGACGAGATGCTCGGGTGGTCTCACAGTCTAAGATGCATGAAAATAAAATACAGGGGGTTTTATTTTCCCCACCACTGATGACGGAGCTGACCTGGCACCTTGGGTCGAGGGGTGATAGGAAGTCCAGGGCTGCCTCCCCCAGAGGGGGGGGGAGTCTGTGTCTCCGTGACGCTACTTCGAGGCCACGAGCGACGTTGACAAGCTGGCGAAGTGGATTGTCGTGATCCTGAAGACCGAATTTGGTTCCACGGGACTGGACCTCGCTTTGTTTACTTCGTCGACGACCTCACCAGACGCGTCATTGAGAAAGTCAACGAGCTTCTCTACGACACCCTCACGTATGTCGTCAAGCAGGGTTCTCCAGGCGAGAATTTCCTTCCGTCTTGAGACCGACTCGATTTCGGACAGAGGCGCCGCCGGCGCGCCTTGCTGGACTCAATTAAAGGGTGCATCTCTATTTTATTTGGAGGACATCGATTTGGAGGCATGCCGAATCATGCCAAAGCTTATGGACCCAGACACGTTACAAACCCTAAGTATATTTTAGTCCATAAGTTCTGGGGAGCAAGAGTAACTCCGACTCCCACTGAGCTCGCAGAACACAGGTCACTGGCGTCCCCCCTTAAATCTAGGGGGTTGCACCTCGCAGACAGAGATCTCAATCTAGATCTTGAATCTAGGATACGTTCAACGTTGCATCTTGACCTTCAATTTCCGCAAAAAAAATGAGAGGCAAAATGCCGGAAAATTAGAGCTACGGGTAGGCAAAAGACAGCTTGTTTGCTCCTGCGCTGGAGGCTTAGGGCTTAGGATGCGTGACTTTCACATGATATTTCACACCAATGTCCTATAAAGGCGAATTCCTTTTTACACTTGTAAACCGC